CAATCCAGTAGTTGTTTGAAGTGGTGTTTCCTATGAGACATGTATATTATGGGTCTATGTTTATTGCAAGATGTGTTTTGATGCAGTGTATGTTTGCTGGGGTCAATGTTTATTTGGTTTTATGTTGGCTAGTTGAGCTATGGGGTGTATGACGTAAATCGGAATGAACTGATGATATACTTTAGGATTTTTTGATGATGCATAGTGTCTGATAATCGGATAAATCGTTTTTTCGGTGATTGGGAGCCATTATTATTTGTTAATGGTCTAGTATATCCGACATCTGTTTCTGTGGGAGTTTGGCTATAGGATCCAATTTTATCGTATAGTTAGATATTGTCGAATTGTATAAAATCCTCTAACATTGTAGGGTTGCAAATTAGGGAAGCCGGTGTTTAGGAGACATCTGTTTTGTCGATTTTGGTTTATAGTATATGGATGAAATGTGTTTTGAATATGGTTTATGAGGTAGGTAAGCGTTTTGAATGAAGATGTGTAGATTAATCTAAATTTGCCGCGAGGACGGAAATCCTTTTTGACATAAATGATTTAAATAGTTTGCGAATAATGGAATTTTTTCGTTTTGAGTTTTGGGGACTAGAAAAATCGACTGGACGTGTGGTGCTCAGTCCAGAATAATGAGTGTATTGTTACACATTGTCAAGTCGAGAATTAAAGGTAAGTCGTTTTAAAATAATGCTCTGCGACTGTGTACATTAAAAGACTTAGGGTTTTTTATTATGTTTAAGCGGAAAATGTTTTTAGGGGTTTTATGTTATGTCTTTCGTATTTTTTACAATTCTGTTGAACTCACGTATATTTTTGAAGAAAATAGTGAGTGTAAGTTTTAAGGTGAAGTTTCGCAGCTCCCTCAACCTATCCTCTACTGTAGCAACAAGAAATGGTGCGTAATTAAACTCCATGGTTATGCTATTTCAAAACTCTGTAAATTCTAATTCCTGACCTAAATATTATGTGTTTAAGTTTTGTAGAATTCGCGTATATTTCCGACGAAAACAATGGTGACTGTAAATTTAAGTGGAAGTTTTTCGGCTCGCCTACCACTTCTCTATTATATGCCGTAGCAACAACTTCGGTTTAAAAGATTCTAAAAATTTCTAGAATCTTCGTTTATGTCTCAATCGTTCGAATATTTTTATGAATATTCGCAAAAAGCCAAGCTCCTTCTTTGCACAGATAAAATATTGTACGATCTATTTGAAAGATAATCTTTTGATTTCCGATAACCTTGGTATGACTAAGATAAAAGCATTATCGAATTATTTTTTAACTTTCAGGAATATTTAGTTTCTGTCTTACTCAGTACATTGAGATGCGCAAAAGATTGTTAAGATCTGGGGAAGATGCAACCAATGCCTATAGTAAGCTTATTTTTTCATCAAATTAAAGTTTGAATCAAGTGCTATGAAATAGTGAAACCTCGATTAAAAGAGGAATAAACGTTGTGAATCGCAACAAGAGAAAACAGCGTGCATTAGAAAAAAATCTGTTTGGAATGTACAAATACAAATTGTTAGGGAATAATCATTATTGGCAATATTTATTTAGAAATTCGAAATTTTGCATCTTTTGTATTAATATTATAAAGATATTGATAAATGGGGCGGGAGCGGAGAAAATAGTTTGAAATGCATAAGTTTCATTGTAATAAAGTTTTACCACTTATATTTTAACTCAAATGATAAAATTAATTTTAATCTATTGGTTGATTTGGCAGTTTTTGAAAATATAGTTTTTCAACTTTTTTTGACAATATACTGTAAATTTATAGCAATCTGAGTCTCGTGGGTTCCATATTTTAGTCCCGCAGGGGCTGCACTGATAAGTTTCTCAATTGGAAGGGATTTCTTACGGAATGGAAGAGATTTCGAAGATCTGAGAACAAATTTTCACAATTTTCAAAGCTCCAATACAAACTGAACTCATCGGTTTGAAATTTTCAGCTTACCCTTCCCTCCAGACTAGATATATTTAAGTGTAAAACCATTAATTAAAGTCCTGAGCTTTCAAAAAAGTTATTAATTAAATGGGAGGGGGCGTCTTCTATTATGAGGGACAAATTTTTTTCCCAAAGGGGTCTTCTGTTATGGGGGGTGAGCGGTCTTTTATTATAGGGAGGAGGAGGGTTAGTTCGTTATTATTGTTTTTGTTGCTCAGAGCTATAGGGAGGAAATTGATCTTAAGTAAGTAAATGGTTTTGTTGTGTTTATTTTACGTCAATTTCAACATTGGAATTGAGTCGTAAGTATTTTATTTAATTGAAGGAATTTTTTTCTTTATTTTAGGTCTGTTCGAATATGAAAATGGAACAGTAAGTATTCTATTTAATTAAATAATGTTTTTTATTTTAGGATAGTTTCAACATCAAAATTGAACAGTAAGTATCATATTTAATTAACACATTCAGCTCGATTCAGTTTCATTACAGAATAGCTCTAACTGATTCGTTTTTATGTGCATTCGTTGTCCTTTTCATTCTGTGCTGGCTCGTTATTTTCTTTTTTATGATTGTTGTGTCACATGGATATTTATGTCTATGCATTACATACTGGTTTTTACCAACATGACATATTGGGCCTTTCCCAATATGTTGTCACATGTTCTATATTGGACTTTTTCTAATAATATATTCGTTTACGTCATGCTTGATACTCTTCAACATCCTTCTATATGTATGTGTCGGTGCTTCTCTTCTTGCAGCCATTCGCTATTACATTCACTAGTTCGCTAGTTCTCTTGCTAATTCTATTCTTCCCTTGCATTTTTTCTATTGTAAATTCCCTTTATGACTTTGGGATGCGTATATTTGCGTTGCTTTTCAGATAAATTTTGCCACGAATAATATGTCAATTGATCAGATTGATGTAGAAGACAGTGACAATGAGAGCTCAATGAGTGGAGTAAGTGAGTCGGATAATGATTTTGTCCAAGTGAGATTTGAATCATCAAGTTCCGAGGAAGAAATTATTGATGATGATATAGATTTATAAGCGTGGAATGAAATTGAATCAGAATCGGATGTCGAATTCCAGGAAGATTATGGAATCGTCGAAGAAATAACTCCTGTTTCAGAAGATGATATAATCAATCCTATCGACTGCTATCGACATTTCATCACAGACGAAAGTATTAGTCTTATGGTTCGCGAAACGAATCGATATGCGACGCAATACTTGCAAACTCATGAGATTAGCAAACGATCACTGATGAAGAAATGCTCAAATTTTTGGGCATTACTATCGCAATGGGGTTGGTATAAATGCCGAAATTGTGCTACTACTGGAACAACAACCAATTGTATGAATCCGAGATCATTCGAAATGCCATATCAAGAGGCAAATTTGAATTACTTCTCAAGTTTTGGCATTTTTCGAACAACGATGAAGAGCTTGCAAAGCATGATAGACTGTTCAAGTTGAAACCACTTTTGGTTTTATTGAAAATCAGATTTTCGTCAGTATACATATCTGGCTCAGTTATTACAATCGACGATACAATGGTACCATAGCGAGGTAGGCTTCTGTTCAAACAATATATTCCTAATAAATCGCACAAATATAGCGTAGGGATATGTAAAGCAGTGACTACTAATGGATACACTTGGAACTGTGTGATCTGTACTGGAAAGCAAGATCCCATGACAGATCTTTGACACGCTCAAACAGTCGTAATGAACTTATCGAATGGTCTCTTAGGATGCTATCGAACCGTAGTAGCTGACAATTTCTTTATCACTATTTCTCTTGCGAAATGTTTGTTCGAACATAATACATATCTTATTGGGACATTGAGAAGTAATCGTGTCGGATTAGGAAACGAAGTTGTTCAGAAAAGGCTCAAGCGTGGTGAAGTCTATGGACTGCAGAGGAAAGATGACATAAAGTTAATCAAATGAAAAGATAAAAGAGATGTTTTGATGATATCCACAAGACAGTCGCATTCAGCAATTGTGGCGGACACTAGAAAAAATAATATAAGAAATGAGCCCATTATGAAGCCACAAGTTGTACTAGATTACAACGAGGGAAGGCAAGATAGTGATTTATCAGATCAACTATCAACATACCATACATGTCTCAGACGGTTTATAAAATGGTATAAAAACGTGGCATTGGAATTAGTATTGGAACCACAGTAGTTAATAGTTATTTGATTTACAAGGAAAATTATGCCGCAAGCGACATGACCATTCTGCAGTTTCGGGAAAGTCTTGTGCGATCTTTACTCCTTGCTACGCCATTTGAGAAGCTGAAACCTAGTCCGAGACAACAATCAGCAAGTCGTTCGAAGCGCAAACTCGCTGATCACAAGCTCGAAGAAAAGGAAGGATCTGCGCGCAATGTCCGAAGGCGCTGTACTGGTTGCTATGAGAAAAGCAGGGAACAACAATCAAGAGAAGCGATCATATTGACAGCAAAGAAAATAAAAACCTTCTGTGCTGACTGTGACAAATTTTTTTGTCTTGATTGTTTTAACTAGGAGCATCATGCTATGGAATAAAGGACTCAAAAAATACTGAAGACAGAGCAGGTGACACATTATGTGTAACCGCCTACCTAAGTAAAAGGCAAAAGAAAGCGGTTTTCTATACGGTTTTTTCTTAAAATATAGTGTGAACCATCGGTAGGTCACATCGGGCTGAATGCGTTAATATAAGTTTACTTCATAAAGTCGATAAATCTTACCGATATTGGTACAAGTTTTCCTACAGTAGGTACATGTGTTGATCCAGATGTTGTAACAATAGTTGATGGAATTGGCGTTGTTGTTACTTAATCAATATTATGAAATTAATTTGAGTTTTTATTAGAAAGAATAATATTTACCAGCACAATCTGGATGAGTTTCGTCATCACCTTTTGGACAATTAACCATTCTATCACATAATTGAGTTCCATTTATACATCCACCTCCAGAACATGTGTATTCGTTTGAGGTACATGTACAATTTTTTTCATCAGTTTGATCAATACAATCTGGTATGCCATCACAAACTCGTGACATATTAAGACATTGACAAATAGTTTCACATGAAAATTGTTCAGAACATAGACATGCACAACCACGTTCATCTGAACCATCTAAACAATCTTTATGAGCATCACATTTACTAGTAATTGGTAAACAATCTCGACTATCAGCACATTGAAAATAACGACCACTATTTAAATCACAATGTTCTTGTTCTACAGAAAAATTCAATGGACAATTTATAAATCTATATAAAAACAGCATAACAATAACAATACATACTGCAATCTGCTGCTTCATCAGAATCATCACCCATACCACAATCGATTGAACCATCACATACCCATGTTTTTGAAATACATTTTTTACTTCTTGAACATAAAAATTCACGACATGGTTGAATATAAGCTAAGAAAAATCGAATAGAATAAATAAAAATTCTTTCTAAAAATATTCGCCAAGGAGAAAACAGCAGACTTCAAGACTTCAAAGGACTTCCAAAGACTTCCAGAGACTTTATGAGAGTTCAACATATATTAAGAGCAGTTAGCGCAATCCCTGCGGGATTAAAATGTGAAAAATGATGTAACTGCTGTGGCTAATCATTGGAAAATTGTTTTATTCTCTCTTTTTTGGGACACATTTCTTCGCCGTCCTTTTACTTTATCCTTCAGAGATGCAATAAGAAAGTAGTTCATTTATTAGAACAAGACGTTATTGATATATAGTCTTTGATCGTATATCAACAACGCTTGACATGGTCTGTCATGAAGGAGAGGCGTTGCTAAGGATGTCTGTCACGTCTGTGATCAGCCGCTGCTTACACGTCTGTTACGTCTGTTTGAGAAGGAGGAATCAGGGGCCCAATTTCTATTCCATACTTCAACACTCCTTGTAGATCGTGCTTTCCAAAAGCTATAGCTCAAAGACTGCATGGGACTTCGATAAATTTCATGTGACTTCAAAAGACTTTGTGAAACTTCAAGACTGAAGTCTCTGCTGTTTACTCATCGATATTCACTTACTGCAATTAACTTCATCTGAACCATCTCGACAATTTGGTAAGCCATCACAACGATAAGTTATATCAACACATTGCCCATTACGACAAGTAAAACTTGTTTGGTTCGAACATTCATAAACACAATTGTCTTCATCACTTTTATCAGCACAATCAGGTACTTTATCGCATTTCCATGTTTTTGGTATACATTCTTTACTTGTTGAACATTGGAATTCATTAAATGATGAACAATCTTGTTGACATTCTTTCGTTGTTAATTGTGAACAAACAAATGAACCATTTGTACATGAACATATTTCACAACCGCGAACAATGGTTGAACCACTTGGATAATATTTATTATCGTAAGCGCATGTACATGATGATATAGGTACACATGTACCAGTCTCATCCATTAAAAGACCATTTGGACAAAAACAACCTTCAACACAACCAGATAATTCACACCCAAAATAATCTTTTCCTGAACATGTTTCAGGACAAATAGATCCACATGCCATATAAACTTTATTATTGTCACATTGCATTGGACATCGATTTGGTCGACGCCATTTAACAGGTACACCAATTGAATTACATTTTTCGGCAAATGAAGCTAAAGACGTACATAAACATTCACAATCTCCACCACGATCACAGCTAAAAAATTAATTTATATAAATATATAAACGACAACAAGAAAGCTATCATTAATAATATTCTTACTTGCATGCATCAAATAAACATTCTTTATAATATATATCAAGTTGTGTTGGATCGATTAATTCAATACAAGGATTAAATGGATTATCTATTGATTTTCCGCGAATTAATGAACATTCTGTTGTTGCCCAATCACGTCGCTGTTCATGACCGAAACATGGGTCACTATTATCAACAAGTGATTCTTGTAAATTTCCACATGTTGGTGCTGTTTTCCAAGAATTAGCCATTCTAGAATAAAAGATTTTTTGTTAAAAATATTTATTTAAAATTTAATATAAATTTTTTTTCTTCATACTCAATTATTGAACCAGTAATTCCTTGTGCTGTTCTTATATCATCAGCATTATCGTCATTATAATTACCACATAAACCTTCCATATTTCCTCGGTGTTTTGAATAAACTGTTAAATAAATTCTTGTAGCTTCATCCCATTTAATTAAAAAATCTGGTGTAGATATTATTGTAAAAACTCCACTTTTAAATACGGATACTTGCCCATAAATTTTTGGTACTGATTCATAATTTTCAATTTCAATACCATTAAAAATAACATTACGTCCACGTTGTAAATCAATAATTGAACCAAGATAATCAATAATTATATTTTTTGTACATGTTACACCTGTTGAGCCACATGGAACATTTTCAGCTAAAATACTAAATGTATTATTTTTCTCTTTAGCCAAATAATATTGACAATTTCCTTCGTATGAATAACGCATTCCATCAAATGTTATATAATGCGGATCCCCCGTTGCAATACATGTACTATCACATTGCATTTTTGTACATGACCATCTACCACCTGAACATGTACAATTATTGCAAGATTGACGAATTTGGTCACCTGTTGCATATGAACGTTGATTATAACGACATGGACATTCATTCACTGGTACACAAGTAATACTATCATGTGTCAATACTTGTCCTGATGGACATGTACAACCTTGTTTATATGTATTACAATCAGAAAAACTAACAATATTATCACATGTCTTCGGACATGTACTTGCATTATTCGAATAGATTTGATTTCCTGGACAAGTCATTGTTAAAAGACAATCTGGATTATCACATTGAAATGCTCCATTTAAACATGTACAATTTGTACATGTTCGAAGTATATTTTGCCCTGGTTGAATATATGATTTTGTTGATATATCATAACATGGACATTGTTCAGCACGAATACATGAACGAGATTTGACATCATAAAATGTATCTGTTGGACATGCACATCCAGGTAAGCATTGATTTTCACAATTTAATGATGGTTTTTGATCAAGATCTGAACATGAATAATCACAAGCTGAAACGCATTCCGAATAACTTGTCGAAGATGATACATCATCTGACGATGAACATTGTCCATAAGGATATGGTGCGATTTGACAAGCATTTGATAAACTTGTTTTACTCATCCAATTAATAACAATACCACGATCAGCACATTTATGTGCATATGTTGCTAAATGATAACATGTATATGTTGATATGTAATCACTTGAAATATCATCACAAAGATCAGCTGTACATGATTCAATATAAAATGATGGTTCCAAAACAGATATACATGGTGCAAACACAGGATCTTTTATTAGATTTTGACATGTTGTTCGAGCAGCTAATTCATTCTAAAAACAAAAAATATCTCTCTTACTTGTTTGTTTTTTTTAATTTCAAATTGGTTTTTATTCAACTTACAGCTGGAAAAAGACTACAAGATGTTGTTTGTAATGGTGTATTACATGTTTGAGAAATTTTATAAGCATCAGCAAAAGCAATTAAATTTGTTTCAATAAGTCCATTGGGAGTTTGATAATCATCTCGTGTTATATAGTTAAAAGTACCACATAAACCACGAGTTTGATTTATAAATGATGGTCCCAATGTAATATAGACGCGAAAACCATCAAAATAAATTGAAAAATCAGTTCCTTGGAAAGATTGAAAAAAAAACTTAATTTGTTTTTTGTTTATTAAATATATTACCTTCAACACTAAGTAAAACTGATGTTGCTTGTCGAATTAATAAATCATTAATTCTATGTGGTAATTGTACGCCTGGTTGTCCATTAGCAACTATTTGTGAACCTTTGATATTTACTGTATTTCCATAGTGTACAATAACTAATTCATTTGTATGAATATTTTTTGTATTTGTATACATTACACGAAGTTTACTTGATAAGTCGGAATTTGCACCCTAAATAAATTATTAAAAGATAAATTATTAAATGAAAAAACATTTAATCATACTTCAAGTAATGTATATTGACAAGAACCAATCAAAGTATATGTTTTTCCATCATAAGTATCAATATGTCCATTACCCATGACAGTACATGTTCTAGGGCAAGCAAATTTTGAACATTGCCATGAACCAGATGAACAAGTACTAAAAATTTAAAGTTAAACTCAAGCAGTGATCTTTTTCTAAATATTAACAGATGAAGATCGAACAAAATGGGAGTCAATAAATGAGATCTATTTGAAATGATGGAAACAATACTTTATATAACGAGAGAATCGCAAGAATGACGTATGTTTAAACGTATGACTTGTCACCTTCTATCTCTAAGCTATGTCCCTGGAAAAGAATTTCTCGATAAAACATTGAAAGAAATGATTCTTGACCTATTAAAATTTCATCAGAACGTAACTATGTAAAAACCAAGATGATTTTTAGTTGATATTGCATCAGAATAAATATCTAAATTGAAAAAAGTATTTCAAAACGTTTCCACACAAAGATTTAAAAAAACAACTTTATTTTAATCAGCAAGTGTCTTTGTTTTGATTGATATCAAATAAGAAAAAAATTGACTCTAGTCTTCAATTGTTATCTCACAAGAGAACTATTTCAATTGATCAATTACTTTCCTAACAAAAGTTATTGAGTTACTGGTTATCTGACATGCTAATTTCGAATATGAGTATGAGAAATATCCTCAAATCTTCATATACTGGATTCCCCAAAGGGAAAAAAGCAAAAATTCCGTACTCTATTGTACACCAAGAGTATATCAAAGCTATTCTCTAGAACTTCTTAGCTATATCAAGTCTACAATCGACGTATGTTACAAGCATATTAATTTGAGTTCATTTTATATAAGTCTGTCTGTTAATTAAGTCCAAATACTTCGTCGCACTTCCCTGATACTCAAATCTTGAAGCACGATGAAGTATTTGGACTAAATTAACAGACACACTTATGTAAAATGAACTCAAATTAATATGCTCGTGGCACATGTTGTTGATCGTAGGCTTGAAATAGCTAAGTTCTAGAGGATACTATCGACATAGCCTTGGAGTACAAAGAAGTACGGAATTTTTGCTTTTTCCTCCTTGTAATTTTCCGGAAAACGGCTTTTCTAGATTAAAAAACTTTTCAACCAAAACTTATTTGTGATCTGCCCAGATTACAGAGTATATCAAATTGTCTAGAAAGCAGTAACTTTTTCTGTCTTAAAAGTTTTTTTTGGGGGACAAAATTCAGTCATTCTAATCTATACCATAGATACGAAGCAATATTGCTTTGTGAAAATCTTCAAGATGGTATTATTTCACTCAATGCTCATTTTTGGAAAACAGAAAAAATTATGATCTTATAGATGAATTGATATGCTCGGTAATCTGGACAGATAAAAAAAGACTTTTCACAAAAATATTGTTAGTCTGGAATAATGCTTTCCTAGAAAACTGTAATATGAAGATCTCAAAAGATCTAGTATCATATTTAAATTCGGAATCAGCATAATCGATCACCAACAATCTAGTAGCTTTATGTAAGATACAGATCAATTAGTTGAACCCTTTTCCTTATTATTTATTTTTAATTTCAATCATATATCATTTTTAAACTCAATTCAGATAGCTCTTTGCTTTTAATTTGTTAATAATGTCTTACCATTTATTACAATCAATATTAATATCATCTCCTGCTTGATAATAATTTCCCCTATAATAACATGTACAATGATCAGGTTTAACACATTGTTGATTTTGCCCCAAATCCAAAACAGTTCCCACTGGACATATACAACCCGGTGAACAATCACTCATACATGTGTCTGATTCAGATATTGTTTGACTTAAACTTTGACAAGTTTTTGGACAATTTGATGCACATTCAACATAGGTCATATTATTTGGACATGATTTAGCTTAATGAAAAAATAAATAAATAAATAAATAAATTCAATTTAAAAGAGAAACTCTCGGCACAATTCCTTCGGAATTAAAATGTGAAACATGAAGTAGCTGCTGTTACTAATCACTAGAAGTTTGTTTTATTTTCTCTATTTTTGAACACATTTCTTTAAGATACTTTTACTTAATCCTCCACAAATGCAATAAGAAAAAAGTTCATATATTATAACAAGAGGTTAGTGATATACAGTCTGTGATCGTATATCAACAGTGTCTGTCACGGTCTATGACGAAGAGGGCGGATGTTGCTAAGGTATTTGTCATGGTCTGTGATGGTCTCTATCTAGAATCTGCCACAGTCTGTTATGAATTACAAGATGCCTGTCACAGACTATGATGGATTGCCAGGGTGTCTGTTACGGTCTGTGGGGTGGAAAGAGTAGCAGTGGTCCTATCGAGGCAAGGTTTCGAAAGTGTAATATCCTCCCTCACAATCGTGAAAAAGCTTAATTTTTTCCCAGCAGAGTTGAAATTCTCTTTTTGCATGTTGTTAGAAGAAAAAGATATTCTTCCTTTGAAAAAGGTCGCAACATCCCCCATATGTTGACTGCTTCGACCATCACTGGAAAAAATGAGTCCAAACTCCTATCTCTATACTTCAACATTCCTTCTAGATCATATTTTACAAAAGAAAGATTTAAATACATACGACATCGAGATGCTGTACGCCAATTAACATCAATATAATTATCAGTACAATCACGAGCCAATGCCGTATAGGAATTACATATTGCTTGTTGTAATTGTTTCGGATAAGAAGCTGCTGTAATACAATAATCGATAATACAAGTATTATAATATTGTTGTCCATTGACCTTTTGTTTTTAGAAATAGAACTTTGTGTTTTTTTTTGGAAAGATAAAATTTTACTTACGACTTGTGAGCATGTTCCAAATACATCCGAACTATCAATAAGTATTTGACAAGCAGCTATTGCTTGTTGTTTCGCATCATCATCTGAACATACTTCACCTAATGATGGAACTTCTGAACACTAAAACCAAAGAAAAGAAAAAAGCACAACAATCAAAAAATGAATTATCAAAAGTCACTTACACTGCTATCTAAACGCCATTGATTTCCAAATACAGCAGCACTTGAAGATACTGTTCTATCAAAAAGAGTAAGATCGTCTAAATAAATGAAAAATAATCTCATAAAAAGAAAAAATGAACTTTATTAAAAGTTCCAACTTTGAGAATCTCCATCATAATCTCCACATAAACCACTAACTCTTCCTTTAAAACTAACATCAACTGTTAAATCAATAACTGTCGCTTCATCCCATTTGACTCTGACGCCATCGGAATATGTTAAATATGTATAATTTCCACGTCGTTCAATGGTTACACCACTAATCGTAATACCTTCAATTGGATTTAATGTAACACCATTAACAATAACATTATTTCCTTCTGCAGTTACATTAACTGATCCAAATAACATTGATAATTGTTTCGAACATTTTTGCCAATTTGTACAACCCGTTGGTCGAACATTAACTTGCCATGTTTGTGTACCACCAAGTTTATAATTACATGAACCAGTAAATTCAAATTGTGTACCATCAAATGTTCGATAATGAAATAAACCCCAAAGAACACATGTAGCAAATGGAAGTGGTCCATTATCATTTACAATTAATGTATTATTTGAAGTAGCAACTACATATAATTAGAAAAGAGGCTACCATAAAAGACTAATTAAAGTTAAAACTAACCTTGATCACAATTGCTTCCTGTCCAATTGGGACAACATTTGGTAATATTCATTTGTCTATAAAAAAAAAAAAGCCGTTAGCATAATTTCTGCAAGATTAAAGTGTGAAACACGACGTAGCTGCTGTTGTTAATCATAGATAGATTGTTTTATGCTATCTATTTTGGGGCACATTTCATCACCGCCCTTTTACTTAAACCTCCACAAATTCAATAAGAAAATAGTTCAAATATTGTAACAAGATGTTATTGATATACGATCTTTGATCGTATATCGCTAACAATATCTGTCACGATCTGTGATGGCCTCTGTCAAGTAGGAGTGCTACAATACCATTACTGGTAATCAGTAGTAACTAATATCGTTGTTACTTATTACTGATAATTAGTAAGAATTGTTCAAAGTAATAACAGTAATAAAGTATTACATAAATAATATAGTAGAAATACTTCTAAGCATCGATTTGATTTCCACTTTCACGGTAAGACATAATGACAGTGTTAGATTTCATTTTTTCCAATATAGATTAAACTCAATATTTATGCATTATTGGTAGAACAAATATCAAGGGGTAAATAGCGAAATACTGAAGACTAGGAATCCATTACATTTCTAGAACTTTATTCGATTCCATAGAATTTCTCAGTTTTCCCAGTAAGCTCCTAAAAACTTATTAAGCGTATCCTTCCAATTTTTTGGTCATTCCTGGTTCTCGAAGAGAGCACAATCGATCAGCATAAAAATTCTTACGACAAATAGAGCACTTAACATAAGGAGATACGTGTTCGAGGAAACAAGTTTTAAACACGATTTTCGCAGTTTTCCGGGAAATCCGAGTTTACCATAGGACTGTATTGGACCTGCTTACGGCCTCTTCCTTCTCTAATTTTGTCTGAAGGGACTGAAATTTCGGCCACAGATACTTGGAAGTATTCTTCAAAGATGTAAGCGGCCATTTTCACTTTTGACCTTCCTATTCAGACTTATAGAGCTCTGAACACCAACACTCCGATTTTGGACGCGAACCTTTACGTTTTTTTTAATAAAAAAAAGACAGTGAGATTTTTGACAAAGTTTAAAATCACTTCGGAGATATAGTCTAAGGTATCTCTAAAATCTTTCAGCTCAATCGGACAAAGTTTGGCTGGAATCGTATGTAGACTCGATGTGGTCCTCTGGAAAATCAGAGTTTCCCGAAAAAGTTGCGAAAACTTTGTTTAAGTATTTTTTCCTCGAGCATCTGTCTCCTTATTTTAAATGCTTTATCTGTGGTAAAAATTTCACGCGGATCGGTTGTACCCTCTTCGAGAACCAGAACTGGCCGAAAAAGAAGATAGGTACTCTCAAGATACGTCATCTGCGTCACAAGAGCTTTTCAAGTTGATATCTCTTTTTCCTTTTTCTTTTTTGAGTCTGGGTAACGGTAAACTCAAGATTCACATCCATACCTATACCCATACTAACCTTGTATTTATTTTTTTGTTATTATTTTATTACAGTAATAACTTATTACTCGTTATTATTCATCCCTTTATCGCTAATAAAAATTAAGTAGTAACAATCAAATGATAAGAAACTATTTCATATTTCGCTAATAGAAAGCAATCAAAGCTCTACTACTATCAAAATAGTAAAAATAACACAAACGCTGATAAAAAAAAATAAAAGTAATAATAATTATTATCAATTGCTGAGTAACAGTAATAAAAAGTGATAGTAAGGTAGCACCCCTACTGGCTAGCGTTTGTCACGGTCTGTGAAGAGAAAGGCATCCAAATTTTTACATCTATACTTCAAGACTCTTTTTAGATTGTGTTTCAGAAAATATGATTAAGGTGAAATTTAAAATAAACAATTACCGAGTATATGGACAAGGAACAGAATTGTCATATCTTCGTTGAATCTCTCCAACAAGATCTCTTGAATTTAGTATTGATGCTTGTTGAAAAACCTGTATTTTTTTTAAATGGATAAATTAAATAGAAAAAATAAAGAGATATATACTTTGAAATCAAGTTTCCATGTTGTGTCATTTTTTTCATATTCATCCATAATATTAAATGTGAAAGGATTAGGACAATTATCATTTTTCGTAACCGATTCTATTGATGAACAAATGTGTTGTGTTGATAATGTTGTCGAAGATTGAGAACTGAAATTTTTTTTAGTTTTATTAATTCAAATATAGTTTATTTCGTAAATTCAAAACTTACTCGACAATTGTCATAAAAAAAAGAAATAAGAATACGTATATTGGCGAACGTTTTGTCGCCATGAATTGGCTTAGTGAACGTGAAAATATAGAATATGCAGCACAAAAAAAAAGAGTCTACGACGCGTATAAAATCGAAAGACTTGACTCTCTGTGTTTTATTGATATTGATATTTGCTTTTATATGATAAAATTAATAAGAGAGAATATACGAGAACATGAGTGAAGTATGGACACAGATGGCAACTGAAGTAGATCTAATAATATTGACAATATTAAAAACAAAATATACGTAGAAGACTTTATTGAAAATTAATGAATAGATTCAATCTGTTTCCACCAATAGACTATAATATTGCATTGTTTTGGTACTTTTTTTTTAATATTCAATAGGACATTTTCTTTGAAGTCATTAGAAGAATATTTGTAATATTGAGAATATGAAATTATGACTCGTTTTTATCCATATGGTGCCTTCTTTAAGTATTCATCTTTTATAATGTCGCATATATTGAAACAATTATTAAACTAATATTCAAGTATTATTGATTCGTTTTTATGACTTGAGAATCAATCAGAATAGTCACACTATTATGTATAAAAGCCGAAGAAATTTATTGAATATTAAATATAGACAATGATTGAAAATGAATTGTGCAGCCCATATGAAGAAAAAACCTCATCAAAGTATATTCTGTCAGATCTTAATATGTATGATGATTAAGTACGGTACACAAATGTTGCATCGACTGATGGTTTTTTTAAAGAAATGATTTGGTTTGGTTTTTAAATTCTTTTAAATTTCTTACGAAAGAACGTTCGCAATCATTAGACCCCGATTGAACTCATAGTTTGTCCATATGTATGACTCGAACAGATTAGTGGAAACCCAAAATGATTCACATCCCTATTTTGTCCTCTAGGAGTTATAACTGTTTTACTAAGTTTTCGACTTCAGACAAGCTATCTGGTAAAAGATCGAATAGCGTAGGTATGACCTGAAATTTTACCCATGAATAAATCTCACCACTATTAGGTATCTTTGAAAATTTCATTTGAAAAAGAAGATTCCATCTCGAGATATTGATCGATCGAAAAAGTTGATGTTTTTATTGTTGCGGATAAGATATGTAAATTTCTTGATCACTGTGTATCTCGAGATGGAAATCTGCATTATTCTATCTCTTGCCAAGTAGTTTTCTTGAAGTCGAAAACTCAGTGAAGCAGTCATAACTCTGAGAGGACAAGGTATGAATGTGAATATTTTTTGATTTTCACTAATCTTTCTGAGTCATACATATGGACACACTTTGAATTCAATCCGTATCCGACAGTGGCGGACGTTTCTTTTTTAGTTGAAAAAATTCACGACGGACGTAAGTAATATTAGAGCTTCGAAAGTTATACGAAATTGTTCTGATTTATGGACTTCAGTAATCGATATGGTTAGGTGTTAAAACGCCAACAAACTATCAAATCTATTGAATCACGAATAACTACAATGATGAGAGAAAGACTAATGAACTTATCGCATTATTATATATAAATTATAACTTATCAAGATTGCCTAAATAAGAATTTCAGTGTTAAACCATTTCGTACATATTTCTTTTATTGTAGATGTATTTGTGTGCAATGAATCAAAATACCAAAACATTCTTGAAACAAACGTTGAAGAAGAGCAACAATAGCTTGTTGAAACACAAGTATGACCAAATTTTGCATAATTATTGATAAAATGATAGACATGAAAAAGTGTATCAAAGCATTATAATCACGTGTATCCTGATGAAAAGAAATTAGATGGAGTACATTCTACTGTTTTTAAAAAATGTTTAATTTTTTTCTAAAATATGATATAAAAGGGACAGAAAAATAATGAAAAATTAACGGTTGGAAAGAAAATATTGAAAAAACAACAATGTAACTTGACCAAAGTAAAACAAATTTTCTTTTAGTATTGAACAATTTTTAGTGAGTCTTCTCTGAATCGATTCAATGAGCTATTTTAAAGCTCTCTTACACCATTCAATTTCAAATAATTTCTACTACTTCTACCGCGATACACTTGTTTTAATTGGTCTATGCACATTGCCAAGAAATGATAAGTTGTATTATTTTTCGCATCAAAGTATCCATTATATTGAGGTAATGAGAATAGTACGAATAAAATTCAATCATTTTTGATTCATTCAAAGTGTCCGAATGAAATAAGAAAAAAACGAGCAACGAGTTTTAGAAGAGATCAATTATACGCTTGAAAATATTTCGTGTTTCCATAGCAGGATAGTGTTTACATTTACGATTATGTAAGTAAGCGCCATGTCGTTTTATACCTGAATAAGAAGCAAAACATTCCCAGCAGAATTCGTGCTTGCATTTGTAACAAGTCATGTGATCGCAACCATCATTTTTCTCAATGTGAGAGTGGCATTTAGGACATTCTTTGGTATTCACACTAATCCAGCGTTGACTAGCATGTAGTTGTCCATCAGTACGAGGCATATCGTACTCTTCGCATGTCATTCCATCATGCCATGGACATTTATGAGTGAAACAAGTTAATAGATGACAATTAACACATTGAATTGTGTTATTCATTGTTGCACCTTCATTCAATTGACCTGAGCCACAACCATATGCGCACCAAACAAATTCAGAATTTTGTTCAAGAGCTCTATTAAGTTCAAATTGTGTATAACGCTCGTAGAGAGTAGTATCATCGTACTTGAGAAGAATCAGTTTGATGGTAATATGTGACAAAGGAATAGAACATTCCGGACATTGAATATCGGAGCCAATATTCCAATTATTACGCACATATTCATACATACAACTATCACAGATTGTTCTATTTGGATGTATACAGTCACTGCTATAGTGCGTTTCAAAGTCTTCAAATGGCTTTGATTCCATACATACGATACATGATTGTTCGAATTTTGTTCCATTCTCATTTGATCTATATATATATATATGAAAAATAATCTCAATATATGTTGAAGTTATTTTTACGCAATTTAATACTTCAGGAATAACCATAACCATTGTATTCTTTCCTCTTTAAACGTCTCTTCTCTTAAAATTTCAAAAGATTTTTCAAAAAAGCGCACCTGCCAATGTATAATTTGATTTATAATTTTCTTAGGAAATAATTTTCTATTGAATAATCGTTTCATATGTTTAGTCATCAATGATATTTTTCTTGGAGTATTCACTTAATTTTACAGATAGTCATTCGATAGAAACTTACATTTGATACGATTTGATTAGACAAGATATCGAATCTTGTGTTGTAATATCAGTCTTGTTCATTAAGTTTTGTAACATTGATAATTGTAGGAAATGAACTAGTCATAACAAGATTTCAATAAACAGTGAGTTGCATTCAAACTTTGTTACCTTTATGTACAAGTGTCAGTTATTTTTTTTATCTCGTTCTTTCATTTGAATTCTGTCTCATTCAAGAGAGGGAAACATACATTTATAAGAATGACTCACTCTTTGCCAGATGACGTCGTGCTGGCACAGATGAATAATTCTGATACAGTAGTATTGCTTTTATTACTCAATATAAGTTGTTCTTCTGAAAATGATCGATGATGAGGAACAAAAAGCTGACGGCTATTTTTGCCTTAATTATTTATTGTATCATCTTTCGTTTTTCGTAACGCAGTCTATACGTTTCGAACGATTTCGTTAAATAAGGCGACTGGTATAACACGTATTTAAGACATACTATAAGACAAAAATGTGCTAGAGAGTATTATCCACGTGTTTATTCTTTTTCTTTCTTTTTTTCTGTCAGGTATTTTTTTTATTGTTCTCTTTTGGTTTCTTCGTTTACAATTTTTCTTGTTTTCGTATGATAACATATCTATTTGTGGACTTTATTATGTTAATTCTTGGTATATTCCATTTTTCGTTTGATATCTAATATAAATATCTGTTTCTTTTTTTCTATGTGAGGAGATTTTGTTGAATTTTACGAATAGAACTTCATTTATATAATAATGTTTTTTTTTGGACCTTTAACATTCTACTATTTGTGCACTCAAATGTTTCCATAGAGTTACCCATGATCAAAACAACATTCATACATAAAAAACAATCTCTGTTTTTAAAGGCAGCTGATTGCACGAAATGCAGCTACTGACTTATTGCTTTTCAGTCGTTTAGTTGCCATGACAAACTCTTCTTTCTTGTTCTTTCACTCAACGCATGAGTCACAATTCAAGTCAGTTGCTCGTTCTGATCATCTGCGCATAATGTCGAATCTGAAAAAAGGCTTGCTGAGATCGTAAAAATGTGACGAGTGCACATCTGAAATTTGTTTTTCAAAATTCGACAGTATTCCGGAGATATAAATATGCAAAAAAAGATAATTAACAGCTAACATGTTCTTTGTATGAGGATGCATCACTCAACCTCGAAGCGACCATTCATATCTTATATGGTAAATGTAAATATACTTCAATTATCTTCTTGTGTGACTCGAATTTATCCATGACGAAATCTCAAAAGTCGAGAAAAAAATGTTGATATGGCTTATATTGTTTAAATAAGTGAGACAATAATAGTCAATAGATAGAAAAAAAGAATATGAGAAATAATTTTTCATCCATATTTAACATTAGTAACGTACCAAAAGTATACTAAAAGAGAATTAATACTAGAATCTGTTTTAATAAGAAAAAGAAACCCTAGAAAGTATATCTTTTTTTTTATTTTTCTCTAAACGATTCATTTAAAAATTCAATTCAAAAAAATTCTCAAATTAACAAACAAGTCATATTCAATGGAATATCATTCATGCAATATTTATTATTTTAATTTTATTCTATAAGTCACGAAACAAAAAAACCACTTGATAGAAATACTCAATGTAAATTTTTAAAATGTCCAATATCTATTAATTAGTTTTTAAATATAAAAGCAAACTTATTAAATTAAGAATAGGAATATAAGTAGAACAGATTTTGATGTTAACAATAGTAGTACATCAGATCATATACTAATATATTCAGAACTCATGCAGTCATCCGTCTTCTTTACTCGAGTTTCGCTCGAGTGACAGTCTAGTTTCTCATTGTTATTATGTTTATTCGCATATCTACTTCTTTTTTACGTCTCTTTCTCATCTTAAAACGGGAGAATAAACAACATTTATTTTGTTTTCTTGAAATATTGTCTGTTTATGATCTTATTTCTACGTTTGATATTTTCATTGAATAAAAATTATTACAGTGTGCATTTTTTAGAAATTAACTCTGCTCTGATTATCTTGAGGACCAATACTTATTGATTACCTCGGATCCTTGCGACTCTCAGGCTTATAAGATAGAAATACAACATGACATTATGATTATTTTACAATTTAAATATGAAGGTACTTGAAGGATCTTTAAAGAGTAAGAAGAATAAATGCAAAAGTAATTCCTATGAATTTTATTTATCCGTTCTTTTTTGTGTTTTCATGTGAAGATCTACTATGAAAGCACTCTTAGAGTTAAGAAAAAAAGAAGAAAATCTCTATTTCAGAATTCTTTCATTGTCAGCTTAATTAGAAATTACTTTGAGCTACTTCTTGGATATTTCAATACTAATCATAAGTGTACTAATTGTAATTATTTTGATGGTGGTTCGCTTAGGCAAACATGACGCAAGTCTCAATATTCTTCATGATATGTCATTATATTCAATTTTGACTTTAGTAAATATAAGCATAATAAAGTCACATTGGTATATAACTAATCATCAATATAAGTAACATCAAAAGAGTTCAGAAATAGTTACAAGAAATATCAATGAATAATTGAAATACGATTTTTCTCTTTGATTTTCAGCTGCTACATCATGTTAATGGCAACTGAATGAGATCAATTGTTGTAATTAATATAATACTAAACTCTGTGTTCCTGAACTATATTTAAAGGCGCAAAATTTTATTCAGTGTTCTAGATACACTCGATTGAATTGAATTTCGATGGGTTCTAGATGAGGCTCAGGTAGTTAGCAATCATTCGAATGTATTTTGAATTACTCGAAAACAAGAACAATAGTTTTATTTGAACAGTTGATATCAAATAACATATACTACTAAGCATCCTTAATGCATATATAAAGAGCGCAACCCTTGATGACGTGTTTATCTCTATGTAACAATATAATGAAATCGTTAGAATTCAAATACACTCCAAAAAATCTGATTAGGGTTAAACATTTTCTCATAAAAATGCCTTCATCGTGGTTCCTACTTCAGCATTTTCACATGAATTCAGAAAACAGTCATACTACTATTTTCATCATAAAAGGTGCATACAGACACTGACAAAGGGAATTTTTGCATCTGAAAACCGTGCAAAAACTTTGTCTTCAATATTTTGACATGTTTAGCAGAGCAAAATGCCTTGTTTATGCGCCATATATGTCAAAAACAGTGTAAGAAAACTTTTTGAAAATTTTCTAGATGCAAGAGTTGCCCTTTTAAGCATCTGTACATACCTAAGATGATAGAAGTGGCTGATTTTTATGTTTTCGGCATGGACATGAAAAAGCTCAGACAGAAGCCATGATTAAGACGTTTAAATGAGTTTTTAAAAACTTTTATCTGCTTGAATAGTGTGTTTAAGCTAGGGGTGGGACATTATTTCTAATTCAACTTAATTAAGTCACTTAATTAAGAAATTTTACTTAATACTTAAAATTAAGCGTTAAGTTTTTTGTAAGAAAACTTAATTTCTTAATATTAAGTTTTAATAAAAAAACTTAATTCTTAAAAATAAGTGTTAATGAAAAAACTTAACACTTAAAGTTAAGTTTTAAGTTTTTTGTAAGAAAACTTAATTTCTTAATATTAAGTTTTAATAAAAAAACTTAACACTTAAAATTAAGTCTTAATAAAAAAACTTAACACTTAATTTTAGGTGTTAAGTAAAATTTCTTAATTAAGTGACTTAATTAAGTTAGATTAGAAACAATGGTCGACCTTAAGTTATCAGAGGTGCTCTACAAAGATCCTCATAGAACCTCCCACGGTTATCCATGAAATAAACGAGTTAGAATTTCCTGCAATCTGATTGGCTGTTATTAAAGAATTTCAGCCAATCACATTTCAGGACGATTTTTCTCCATGAAGATGAGGACGAAACATAGGGTTGTTCGGGCCAATTTGAGGTTATGAAGGGTGCTCTACAAAAGTCCTCATAGGACCTCCCACGGTTATCCATGAAATAAGCGAGTTAGAATTTCCTGCAATCTGATTGGCTGTTATTAAAGAATTTCGGCCAATCACATTTCAGGACGATTTTTCTCCATGAAGATGAGGACGAAACATAGGGTTGTTCGAACCAATTTGAGGCTATCATGGGTGCTCTACAAAAGTCCTCATAGAACCTCCCACGGTTATCCATGAAATAAGCGAGTTAGAATATCCTGCAATCTGATTGACTGAAAAAATCACTTAATTTTAAGTGAATTAAGTGTTAATGAAAAAACTTAACATTTAATATTAAGAAATTAAGTTTTCTTTTAAAAAACTTAACACTTAATTTTAAGTGTTAAGTTTTTTCATTAAAACTTAATATTAAGAAATTAAGTTTTTTTTATAAAAAACTTAAGACTTAATTTTAAGTGTTAAGATTTTTCATTAACACTTATTTTTAAGAATTAAGTTTTTTTATTAAAACTTAATATTAAGTTTTAAGGAAAAAAATTTGACTTAATATTAAGTTAAGATTAATGTCCCACCCCTAGTTTAAGCTATTATTAATAAATCAAGAAGTAAAGTATCTTCTATGGCTGAGTTATAAAACATAGGGTCTTTGTCATCCTTTCTTTTTGCCTATATGGTAACTATGTATAACTTGTATATTTTGATTGAATTTATCTATCTAGATACGATTTCATTTACGGTCTTTTCTCATTGCAATATCCTCATCTCGACATTTTTTACAAAAGATGAAGCCATCTATTGAATATTTTTCTGCCAATTCCAGTCATACGTATAATCTCTATATCAAAGCCAATAAATTAAATGCTAAGTACTTTTTTGTAAATGCTCAGTGTTATATATAAATTATCAGTAAATAAATCAAACTATTAATACATAATTTGGTACTTAGTAGCTACTATGTCTTATCAGTAAACTAATAATTCGAGCGTGTAGATGTAGATGTGAGATTGTACATGGGATGTAGATACTGCTATCAGGAAGGCCGACACCACACCAACATCCACATCCAATTAAATACAAGTCTATATCATATCTATCGAATAAACTTGTAATTCAAAGCTAATTTTTTTTCTTCATAATACTGCTTTTTCTCATTTTTTCTTTTTCTTCCATTGACTTGGATAGTCCACTTGCATTTTATGTGCAGTTATTCTTTTAATATTAATAAAATAAATACACGAAGTTATTACTGCTATGAATGTTTACCGATTTCTAGACTAGGCAAAACAACCTTGTCTTCTGCTTCATGTATTATTTGCCTGCAAAAACAATAGTTTTTATTTTTATTTTTATTTTTATCTTTTACATTTTTCTTGAATTATTCTTTGAAAATCATACGTTCATTAACTTTCTTTTTTCTTTTTTTTATTCACAGTAATAAACAATACTGTTATTTAAAACCATATGTAGTTTGAAAGACAGAAAATGAAAGACAATATGATATTAAAAAAGACATTATTCTCTTTAAAAAATGATCAATTAATTCTTCTTATTATTTAATTATTTTTTCCATGGATGAAGTGCAACTAATACAATTATACCAATTATAACGAGGACAATAACAACTAAAAATAAATAAACATACTTTGTATTTCTAATTCATTGATAAAACAAAACTTACTAATAAAAATAGTAATTTTATAATTGCGCCATTTCATACTTCGTTGTATACGTCTAGCCGAACCATGAAAATGATAAGATGATGTATTTAAATCTTCAGCTCGTGCATTTAATGCATCTAATCTATCTCCCCGATCAACTAATTTATCAACAGTTACTTTCAAAACATTTGTTGTTTCAGCAACATCAGCACGTAATTCATTTAAATTATTTGCTTTATTATCAACTGGATCACTCATCTTCAACAAGAAAAAAGACCAATGTATCACAAAAACAATAATAAAGGAAGAGATAAGAATTGACAAAAAAAAAATAAACAGAATAACATTTTGCTATGTCTATTTAATGACGATAGATTATGAAAAAAATGCAAAAAAGAGTAAGATAGGTTTATTTATTATTTATAAGTGGTTACAAACAAAGAACTTTGAGATGAAAAAATATACAAAAAAATAGAAAATATTTTATCAAGTTGGGAGAATTAAGTATCAGTGTATGTGTTCATAGTTGGATTGTTTTGATGAGAAGAAACTAAAATAAAAATTTTCAATAAAAAAAAAAAAAAATAATAAAGAAAGATCTTGGTAATTCCCTAGAATATATCAACGGAGAGATATATTCACTGTCCAGAGATTAGCAATTGAAGAAAATCAAATAGAATTCAGTGTTTAGAGCACCCACATTGAAATTGTATGTATCAATGTTTTGAACCCCGCTCAGTGCGGTTGTGTGTGATAGTGCTTCAAGTCTCCTCATTATATGAAAGATTGAACTTCTTGAAACTCGCTTCATTTGATATTGAATTTTCGATTTATCTCGATGATGGGTATTGCTGTCAGTTGAAGAAGAAAAACATTGATCTGAAACAGAGACTATCATAGATCATTATTTTCTTTAAAGATGCACTCCTTCTAGAGATCTGGTAAATGATTCCAATTTTAGTCTTCAGAGGAAAAAAATGTTCATATGTTTATCGAGTTCAGAGTTTTTGTAATAATTCTATATATATGTAACAATCTAAGAAAGCAACAAAAAGAAATCGGAAGTGAAGCCGTAACTGTGAATTATTAAAAGCAATTGTGCCGACCGTCAGCTTATTTTATTTTTATTAAGAAACAGCAGATGCATTCATGTTTGTATCACTCATCCATCGAATGTGGTTGAAAGAGAAAGTTATTTTATGCATGTAGTTTCGAGTTTTAACTCACTTTTGACAAAAAAAATAGATTTTTAGTATATAATCCTGTCAAACAATCCCATTGAATATAATGATGGAGCCAGAAAACTTGTAAGGGGCGGATGAGGCAGGTCAGCTCCCGTTTACAGATGGAAATGAGGTATATTCTTTCCCTACAATATTGGAATGTCACATTTCTGAAAGAAGGGCTGAATTCCTTCAGTCACCCCCCATGGTTCCACCACTAATTGAATATCGAATTTAATTTAGGCGAGTATATCTAGGCATGAATACGATGCCAATTGATTAAGAAATACACAGTTAGAGATAAAATGCGTTCATAATATTTCAGGTGTAAAAAAAAAGTAGCATTTGAAATTTGATATCAGCAGCCGAAAAAAAGCAGTAACATTTTATCTCTAACTTTCCACTATTTTGGTTGATTGATAATATCATGCGTAGACATACAAATTTTAAGCTAAATCATTTAAATTAAAATTCATTGTTACTTTATTGATTTTTTTTTACTAATTCTTATTTTAATGGCATTTTTCTTTCGATGGTAAACCATTTTCGATCATATGATATTTTAGTTAAAGATTAAGATTGAAAGAAAAATATTGAACTATTATTCGAAATACTTCTTTAAAAATGATCATAGAAATTATTTAATTTTTTTCAACCATTGATCGGCCGAACAAATGTTTAGTGGGGAATAAATTGAAATGATTTAACGGTATCTCTTTATCAAAAGTTTTCTCCATAAATACTTTTTTTTGCAGAATTCTGAGTGATCAACAAGTGAATGAAATTTTGAAATCAAATTTTTGAAGAAGCAAGCAAACGTGCAAATTCGTCTACTTCTATTCATTGAAAAATAGCAGAGCGATAAGAGACACACATAAAGAAAAATGAAAAACAAATTGTTTTTTTTTCTTTACTACCTTCGAACAAATCTTGTAGCTATGAAAATAACTTATTATTATTTCAAATTAAAATTAATTATTTACCTGAACGAGCTGTTGTGTTAGGCAAAACGTTTAACAAAGGTTCATCATCATCATTCGATCTCAATGGACGAGTTTCTACAAAATTTATATTATAATAAAAATTCTCAAAATAAACCTTCCTTACCTGAATTAATTGTAGTATGACGATAAAGATTATTTCCTGCCATAGCTGATGTTGACCGAATTCCATATTTTTCTTCTACTTCTCTTCTTCTATCTCGACGTTGTGCAGCTGTTGTTGTATTAGATAATGCATTGGCTCCACCATTACTTCGACGTTCTTAAAAAATAAAAAAGAATAAGTCAGAAGGAAGAAATTTATTATCATTTGCCTTTGTTCATTAAATCTTTTCCATCTTCAACGCATTCAGATGATACATCATCATCATCAAGAAATTGTTCAAAACCACATGCATGTAAACATCTTGATCCAAGTCGAAAATAAGTTCCAATACTTAATAATAATATTAACATTGGAAAATAAAAATTAAAACCAATTGATACAATTGGTATTGCAGTTAAATGACCCATTATCTAAGAGAAAAAAAACACAAAAATTCTTATATTTTTATTTTTATTTTTTATTTACTGATGTAAAAATTGTTTCTACATGGTCAGTTTTATTTGTAATCGCTTGATCTAAATGTATCATACCAAGAAAATTATAGCTCAACGGAGCTGTTAAACGACATAAAAATGTTGCAGCAAATATTAAACTATTTTCATCCGTTAAATGATAAAGTGATAAATAAAAATAATCTAATACACGAATACGAAATATTGTATAATATGCACATAAACATAAATATGCAATACTTAAACAACAAAATACCTATTAATAGAAAATTTCGTTTTTTTTTAATTCTAGAAATATTTTTATATTTATCGTACTTCCATCGTAAAATAAGAATGATGATCTCGAGCAGCATTTACACATTTAGCAAAGATGGATAAAACTGGTTTTGTACGGAAAAATGTCATTTCAGACCAGATAACTAATATTGATATGATACCAAGCATAATTCCGAGAAGACGAAGTGCCCATGGACGGATGAGACAGTATGTATACCATTCTAAAATTCAAAAAAACAGAGCGTTCGTTATATTAAATAACTGGAGTCTAAAATCTACATTACGGAATAAAGATCGAATATAGCTCACAAAGACAGATTTTTGGAAAAAATACGTTTAAATGATTAATCAAAGTTTTGGTTCCATGATTCATTTTACGAGGCATACGAATGTAAAAATAAAACGTATGGTTTTGAAACATTAGAAAACCATTTTTTTTAGAGGTAGAATAGCGGCTTTATTATTTTTCATATGACAAAATTGGAATCAAGTAACATTTATGCATTTATGAGGACACTCGTCTGTAGTTTTCTGTTGGATCAAAACTTTCAAATCTGTTTTCACAATTTTTTGCACTCGGAGGTACCTTCTATGGATCGAAAAAAAACTCATCGCGCTTACCTAGATATCATTTTTGAGAGAAAGTAAACAGTTTTTGATCCCAAAATCTTTTCTAAGGTTATGTTTAGACCACTTAAATGACTTCGATCTAACACAATTCCTTGTGTTCTATCTAAATTAGAAAGAAACCTGTAAGAAATATTATAGTCATTCGTTTGATAATTCCCTTGTACTGAAACCAATTGTTCAAATTTGTAAGTATTAATCAAAAGTTTTTATACCGTAATTCTATAAAAGAGCTTCCATACACTTCGAAACTTATTGTGTATACACAATTTAATTTGTTCTTTCTCACAGAAATATTTTTATTAACAAACAAAATAAACCAGGTTTCTCACGAACACCAACAAGTCAAATATATTGATTTCAAAGAAATCAACGTAGCTTATGGGCATTTATATTTTCAACGGTAAAACATAAGGTAAAACTTTCACTTGTTTTAGAAGTAATCGAAAACCTTGTCATCGATTTCGATTCGAAGGACTCCTAGTGTCAAGAACAAGTTTTGCTTCAATGAAGCAGTTCTATAAAGATCAGAAAGGTCGTCATATTTTCCTTATTATTGGGCGAAACTTCGATAAGTATATGATACTTGTGATCCGCGCAGTGAGATTTATTAGCTCGTATATGAAAACCGTAAACTGACAAAAAAATATTTGATCGATTTCTGAGGAGAACCTAAGGGTACAAAAAATTGTGAAGTCAGATTTCAAACTTTTAGTCCAACAGAAAACATCATAAGAGTATCAGTATAAGTGCGTAAATGCCACTTGATCCCAATATGGTGAAACCACAATTCGCCCATTATCAAACAATGTTTTTTTGTTATTATTTAGAAAAAAAGACGTTGTAAACATTATCTTTTATTTAAAATTTTTTCCCCTGTTCGCATCTGTTTAAATGAAACACAAAAGCAAAAATAAAGTGGAAAAACAATTGCAGAGGTTTTATCAATAAAAAAATTAGATAATAGCATTCAAGAAGGCTAAACCTTAAGCAAGAAAAAGCTTTTAATTTCAACCAGATAATTTCAAAATACCACATACATAAATACGATTTAATATCGATAAGTAACGAAAATTATTTTATGAAGTTCAAATCTTTAATACTGAAAGGATCGCATTCTCATAGCTAGTCTCTTTAAACAATTTTCTATTGAAAATTAATGCTTTTCCTAACTGTTCGAGGTTTCTATATTGGCAAAATTATTTGTCAGTGATGCGACTTCACAAAAATAAGACACGTATATCTCGGAATAATGAACTTTCCTAGAACTAATTTTTATATGTTACATCTATGTTAAGTTACTCTAGATACTCTGAAAAAAATGAGCGCTCGAGACCTTTGTTCAGAGAAGTTATCAGTAAAAACCTAGCTTTAAAGAACATCGACTTTCAATTCATGCATTTTAGTTTTAAAAAACTTCGAATGAAGGCAGCATTTTTGAAAACTATATAGTACATTCTATAGAGAACTTTTGAGGCTACAAAATCTCTATTCAAAGTTGTTTTTGAGCACATCTAGATTTTCCAAAACAATCGATTTACTTTTCGTTGGTGACATGACAGAATGCGAATAT